CCAAGAGCATAGCCGTGGTGGAAGCTAGCACTCAGGTGAGGAGGGCTGAGGGTGCAGGGGTGGCAGGTGTGGGTAGGGGAAGGGAGGGGGCATTTTGGAAGGTTCTTGAAGCCAAGTACCCACAGGGTACTGTCTTTGTTTCCTGGGAAGAGCAGGCAGGGGCATGTCCAACAGGCAGGAGAGTGTCCTAGATCTGAGGACACTCGCCCCACCTCCAACCCCCCGATAGCACCTAGGATGTGGTTGCCAAGAACGAGGCTGGTTGTTGCTGGGAGAGGCTGCTGAACACCAGTGTGTCCCCACCACCAGCGGCCACCCGCGAGCCAGCTGCACCAGGCAAATATTTGCCTTGCTCTTTGTACTTCATTAAAACCCCCTTTCATGATGTTGGGTCTGACTGTAGACTTTGAGCACCTTCACCTGGATGGCTCCCTCTGCCCGCATGGCTGCAGTGCAAGGACAGACCAACACATCGCCCACCTCAGGCCTTTTTCACCCTGAGCCTCAGTCTCCCCATCAGTGGAATGGGTCAGTAACTGGTAGCTCTCAGGGCTGTTGGGGGTCACTTGAACTCATGCCCCCAGCTGGCACATAGTAGGTCCCCAGGACACATTGGTTCCTTCCCCTCTCTCTTTCCCAGTCGTCCAAAGATGTCTCAGTCCTGAAGAAAGACTAGAAACGGGAGGCCAGGCTGCCACAGAGTTTTCCCCAAGGCTTTTCTCAGGGCCTGGTTGATTTCCCTCCCATGGACTCCTTTTCTGTCAGGAACAAGTGTACACATCGAGGACAGCAGTTCAAGCCCTGGCAGAGCAGCTGGTGTATCTATGTCCTGGGCACAGCCCGGAGGCAGCTGGCAGAAGGATCACATCAGCTCCCTTTCTGAGACCAGTAGAGAAGACCAGCCCCCAGCTTCAGGACCATTCCTTGGTAACACCCCCACTTCTCATAGATGCCAAACACCTGATTTCAAGAGAGATGGAAAACTTGAGGCCAAAGCGGGGAGGGGACTCGTCGAGGCCCCCCAGGCTGGCCTCCTGCCTCCACCTACCTCCCTTTGGTCACTCCAGGCTGACAAGGGGTAGAAGAGGCTCCTGGGATGGGTCACTGGGGTGCTGGGCCCTGCAACGGAACATCTGAAGAGGGGCAACCGCAGTTTCCAACAATAGTCTCCATGTCTGTAGCAAGCTCACACCTCAGAGGGAAGAGGCTTGGTTGGGAGAGGCTTGGGGGGGAAGGACGCTGACCTAGATCACCCAGGATGGAGGAAGAGGCTGGTGTCTTCCGAGATGGCGGCCTACACCTGCCCTAGACCACCATCCCACTTGCCCTGCTCCCAAGACCTAACTCTGGCCCTTAGGAAATCTCCTATGGGGAGCTTGGCTGGACCCAGCTGGGGAGACAGCTGAAGCCTGGGAGTCAGGAGCTGAGAGTCTTGTCGCTTCACCAGTCAGCCTGGGGCCAGCTTTCTCCCCACTGTGAGAAGCAGAATCCACAGCATCCACTTAGAAGCTTCCTCCCCATCAGCTGCTGCAAGGTCCCAGGATCAGCTAACAAATCCTCGCTAAGGGAGAATTGGGTACTGAGCCCTAGGGAGCCCCAGCTTTGGAAAACATCATCATGCACCTAACAACCGGAGAAACTGAGGCCTAAAAGGAGAGATTCCCATAGGGACTAGGAAGAGGCTATCAGCGGAGGGTGTTCTCTCCTAATTACAACCCTCCCGGGTCTCACTGGGGACCTGGGACCTCAATGGGTCTTCCTGCTGTCGCCTCCAGGTCAAACTGAGGCTGGGAGAAGCCCTGGGGCTGGCACAGGCTGTGAAGAATCTGGAGACAGGGTTCCCAGGGTCAGCTGGGAAACCCCGGTCCAATCCCAGGGGTCCAGGGAGCCCTAGACTGGGCGATGTGCCCAGCTGAAAACAGCTCCAGGCGATTTTCTCCCAGCTGGGAGGAGAGATAAGGGCGCCAGTGGGGGGCAGGAGTGTCCATCTGGCTTCCTGGGATGCCCTTCCTGCCAACATGGCTGGGTAGCACATTCAGTTCAGAGGCCTGACCTGAGCCCTCCTGGGGCTCAGCCTTCTCCAGAGAAAGGCTAGTCCTGGAGCCTGCCTGACCAGTTCTGGGTGGCCCAGAGGGAGGGTAGACAGGCTGGAGCGGCTGTAGGGACAGCAAGTAGTCCAGGGCCTGAGCGCCCTGGTGCAGGATCAGTGGAAGATCAGCCTCACTCTGTACCAGGCTCAACCAGCCCAGATGCCAGTCACTCTGTCAGTTCCTACCGGACACCACAACTATCCAGTCCTAAGGGGGAGTCAGGTCGGTCCCCAGGAGGACTGGATCTAGAGACATGAACTGATGCAGAGACGGGAAGGAGCCACCACGTCTCTGCTTCAAATGACAATCTAGCTGTGGGTTCAGGATGAGCAGAAGGCTGAAGTTTCTCAGGCCTGAGGGGGCCAATCTGCTTCTGCATTTCCATCTGGGATGGAAACAGGGAGATGAGCCTTGCAGGGCATGCCGGGATCCAGGCCTCCATCCTTCCTCCGCAGTCACTCAGGGGGAACTCAGTCACCACCTCTCTAGGAGCTATCCCCTCTCAGCCCTGAGCTCAGACTGCATGCTGATATCTGTTCACCTCAGGTCCCTCAGGCACCTCCAGCTCAACCTGTCACACAGAGCTCTTCATCACTGCTGCCTGTTCAGCTGCAGCCGGGAGTCGTCCTCAACCTTCTGGTCCCAGCACCCAATCAGGACAGCAGAGGCGGGTGCCCAGGGAGCGCCTGCTGGACCAAATGAAGTCCAGTCCCCATGGAGCGTGCCCCTGCCATGAGAGGGACCGGTGATAGAAACAAAGCCATGCCCCTTTCATCTGAGAAAGCAGGAACCAGGAGACAGGAAGCCTGCATCAAAAATCCTACCACTGACTCTATCAACTGACTCTTCTGATCCTCAGTTTCTCCACTTAACAGATGGAGATAATAAGTCTTTTCCTGTTTCCCTTTTCAGCTAGGTGTGAGAAACTCTTACCACAACAATTAGGAATGGAGGGACATTTATTTAATGGTTCTTCCACCAGGCTTCCACCAGGCTTCCTGCTAAAGCCTTTACAAATATCAGGTACTGCCTGTACCCATTTTGCAGATAAAGAGACCAAGGCTCAGAGAGGCAAGCCGGCACTGAGGTTACAAGCTAGGCAGTGTGGAGCTGGGATTTTTAACTCGGGTTTCCAATGTGCCATTTCAGTATGCCAGGCAGGGACGGCCATACTGGGTGCTGAGAGCCAAGACAGCTAACTGGATTCTGTCCCAGTTCTGCCAGAGATCCACTGCGTGACCTTGGGCGAGTCATTGCCCCTCTCTGTCAGCAGAAGTAATGCAAATTTTCCAAGCCAAAGAGAATTTCTGCCACGGAGCAATTCTGCCAAACTGGTGAAGGCACTCCTCCTGCGGCACGTGTGCTCATGATGCCTCTGACCTGAATCTGCCAGTGCCCCAACCATCAGCCCCGGATGCTGCCGGTCGGGGCCCAGGCTGCTGTGGGGAGTGGGGGGAGGAGTGGGGAGGGAGACTTCGTAACCTGAGCACTGGAACTTCCATCCAGGCAAGCAGGGGTCCTGGAGGTCAGAGGGCCAGCAGTGAGGCAGGGAGACACACAGGAAACACTCCTCTGCAGAAGCTTGTCTAGCCTATAGTCCACACAGGGCCCCAAGGTGGGCTGTCTCCCCCAGCCCTGGGTGCCTCTAGCTGGCCCACTCACCACTGCTGCCAAATTGTGTAACTTGGATGGATGGCAGACACAGACAGGGATTCTCGGCAAGTCACCTCTCCTCCTCCAACCACAGTCTCCTCTATTCCTGCCACAGACAATTCCTGCCCACGGACGAGTCAGTGTGGCCCAACCAGTCGCTCTGTTTTTTATTTAGTTCCTGTAGCCAATGCCCAGAGCCCCTGAGACCCCTTTACAGTTTGTGAGCACAAGCCTCTAGTCTCCCCAGGTGCCTGCCCGCCCGACAGCTGGCATCTGCACCTGTTGTCAGAGTCCCGCCCCGGGCTGCTGGGAACTGCTTGGGCTGCCAGCACGGAGGGCCAGAAGTGTATGGAACTGATGACAGCAGGTAAGAGGAGAGAAACATTGCACCTCTTTTCCCCTGAATGGAACATCTCTGAGGCATGGTGTACACTGTCTCCAGAGCTCCCCAGGGAACTGGACCGAAGCCCCCTCCATGAGACTCTGCTTGATGCCCCACTCTTGCTTGGTTCTCTTCCTGTCCCTGCCCTCTCCTCACCAGATTTTCCTGGGAAAGATTCTCAAAAAATTCACTTTCATGAAGAATGTTCATCTCAGGGTCTGTTCCAGGAGAGCCCAACCTAGGGTAGTTGCCAATAAAATTCATCTAGAAATCTAGATTTCTGCTTCTCAAGATAAATCTGTGGATCTGGCAATCCTGAGCCCATTCCCACTCAATAACAACTGGCTAGAGCTGCATAGAGTCACCCAACACAAACAAAAGATGTGTTCTCCAGCTCTGCCTGGTCCCCCATACTCTCTACTGTCCCTCAAGTGGCCCTTTTCACCTGTTCACTTTCCCTGCCAGTCCCCAACTGGCTTATGAGTTTGCAAACCCTACAATCCAGTACTGTGGTTAAGCATGCAGGCCCTGGAGTTGATCGGCTTAAGTTCACATTCCAGGTTCACCAGTTAACAGCTGTGTGACCTAGGATAAGTCACTTAATCTTTCTGTCTCACAGTTTCCTCATGTGAGAAATAAGTGCACACACACAGTACCTCAATGTCTACTGTAGACATCAGTGGGATACTGTTTGTAAAGCGCATTGTGCGGTATCTAGCACATGATAAGATTCCTAATGTTTGTCCTCTTGGAGTGGGTGTGCCTGTTGCGATCTGACAGCCCATGTCCAACTAGCTGAGATTACCTGCTGGCTCCTCCTCACTCTCTCTGGGGAGAAACAACTCTTCCCCCAAGAGGTTCAACTGACCACTCACCTCTTCCCACTGGTGAATGTATCGAATGAGGCGGGAAAGACGTAAGAGGCGCAGGAGGCTGAGGATCTTGGTGAAGCGGACGATGCGCAGGGCTCGGGCCGTCTTGTAGACCTCCGAGTCGATGCGTGTCTCTACAATGAGGAAGATATAGTCCACAGGGATGGAGGAGATGAAATCTACCACAAACCAACTCTTCAGATACTTCATCTTAATCCGCTGTGGGTCCAGGATGATCTCTGTGTTGTCCTCCACCACGATCCCAGTGCGGAAGTTGAGGACCAAGTCGATGAGGAAGAACGTGTCTGACACCACGTTGAAGACAATCCAAGGTGTGGTGTTCTCATCCTTGAAGAAGGTGATGCCCACAGGAATGATGATCAGGTTTCCCACCATCAGCAGCAGCATGGTCAGGTCCCAGTAAAATCTGCCCAGAGACACAGGGGTCAGTCACCAGGAGGAGAGACAGGACAAGTTACAGACCAAGAGAGGGAGCTTCGAGGGGGCAAATGGGGGGACAGAGAGACATCGTGGGAGATTCCAAGACACACAGGGAGACAGGCATGTGGATACCAGGGCCGGGTGTGGAGACTGGCAGACACAGACAACCACACAGAAAGGGGCTCTTCATTCAGTAAGGATGCCCTCCGCCCTGACCTTCAGTGAACTACCCACCACCCCCTCCCATGGCAAGCCTTGTCCCCCACATCCCTCCCCTGCCACAAGAGTCAGGCTGAAAAGCAAACTGAACAGTGATATCCAGAGAGACTTGAGAGGCTGCTTTAGTGACAGGAGCGGCTCACCTCACACCACCCCAGGCTCGGGCCAGGCTGCTCCACCCTCCCTGAGGGTCAGCTGTGGCCTGAGACAGACAGGCTGTCAGGCAGACATGCCACAGACTAGACCAGAGAGCAGAGAGGCGCAGACACACAGCAGGCACCTGGGAGGCAAGAGGCCCAGGCTCTAGTCCTAGCTCCTGTCGCCGATGTGCTATGTGACATCAGACAGGTCTCTTTTCTCTGGGCCACAGTTTCTCAATTGTGCAATGAGTCTTATGAGTCCAATCTGACCCTCTCCCACACTGACTCTCTGATGTTTCCTTGTGGGCCATCCCCCATTGTCAGAAAATGTCTGACCACCTCCACTTCTCAGAGTTTTGCATCTGGGGGTGTGGAGGGGTAGTAAGAACACCATAGGCAGAAGTGTGCATGGGGGGCAGATTCCAGGCACCAGTGAGGACCCACTCAATGCACTGGAAGGAGGCCAGCCCAGGCTTCTAACATCATTCCTCCTAAGGCCTCAAAGTACCCACAAGTCCTTCCTGAAGGAGATCATGAGGGGGGCCTCAGGGCCACATACAGAAGTACAATGCCAGCTCACAGGGCCGGGCAGAACTTCCCTCCACGCAGCCCAGCTCAGGCAGGCACAGACCTCACATCTAGAAGGTATGGCCAGTCATTCCCAGGGACCCTGCCCAAGGACCAGCCATCCCAGAGCTGGCCCCAAGACCCAAAATGTGCACTGTAGAGGCGTTTCCCACTGCTATTAATCTAGACAGTTACACAATAACAGATGAAGGTATGAAGTCAGGCAGAAACAAACATGTCTTCTCCCAGAAGCAATCACCTTTCAGTCATCTTTAATTCACTCCTGCAGGAAAGCCAGGAGGAAGAAAGCAGGAAAGAGATAAGCTTGCACGAGTCTTCATAGGGTCCTACCAAAAACCAAAGTGCCCCAGGTTTGCAAAGACATTACTTCACAGCAAGTCATTTTCTTTGCTAGATTCAAAATGGTCAAACAGAGGGCAGGGCTGGCATCATTGGAGGTGGGTGAGACGGCTGTCCCATATCACCCAGCACGGGGAGGATGGTTTCCGGTAGAGCCTTGGAAAGCCAAGACTTGCAGGGCCTCAAGACAGGGCCTCAAGAGAGTAAAGGCTTCTCATTCTAAGACTGGTGCCAAGAGGTCAAGTCCAGCTCCTTCCCTGCCCCATGACCCACCACTCCTTCCTGCAGCCCCAGGACCCCAATGCCAGCTGGGAGAACCCAACTCAGCCCTGAGAACCCACCCCTGCCCTCACACCTCACTACCAGGACCACCGCACATCTGCTCATAAGTCTTGGTGCTTCAGTGCCCGTGGGGTGCTCTGGATCTGGGCACCCTCCACCAAGCCACACACATATCAAAGACAGCTGCATATACTCATTAGACGCCAAGGACAGGTATCCCCATTCACACACGGTACGCAAACACCCCTGTATACATGCTGCCGTCATTCCTTTCATCTCTTGGGAAAAACAAAACAAAACAAACATACAGAACTGTGTGCGGAGAGGCCACGGAGGGCCATGTGGTCCTCTGTACATAAAGCTAAGAATACACTCAGGCTGGAGGAGTTTCTAAAATTAACAGAGTGAGCGCACGGCAGCTGGAAATGCTGACTCCGGCAGGCCCGCCACTTGGGTACGTTTCTACACTCTCCCCAGTTCTAGTTCTCTCAATTACAGTCCAAATTTGAGACAGTAATTAACAGGAGATGTTTGCATTTAGTGGTCTTCATAAAACCAAATTACATGAAGCAAAAACACCCATTTCCTTGCATTCTGACTAATTGTCTCAATCTCGAGTTTCCAGATGCACATGGATATTTCCAGTGTCTGATCTGGGCTGGGGTCAGGCGAGTGGAGCATTAGTCCCCACAAAGCCCCTCCCTGGAGCCTCACAGAGCTGCCGAGAGGCAGCAGAACGTAGCGGGAGGAAGACAGGTCCTGCAGCCCCTCAGCCCAGGTTCAATTTCTGCTCCGACATTTGCTACCAAGTCACTTAACTGCTCTGGGCCTCAGTTTTCTCACCTGCTCAACGAGGATAATCACAGCACCTAACTAGTAGTATCACTTTGAGAGTGAAATGAATTGAGATCTGTAAAATGCTCTGACCTATGCCTGGCTATATTATGAAATGAGTAAATAAATAATTGAAATCAGCAAATTGGCAGGAAAGAGGTAGATGAGGAGGAAGATTAAATCTTCCAGAGGGAGCTGGGTGCAGTGGCTTATACCCATAATCCCAGCGCTTTGGGAGGTCGAGGTGGGAGGATTGCTTGAGCATAGGAGTTTGAGACCAGTCTGGGCAACATAGCAAAACCTCATGTCTACAACAAATTTAAAAAATTAGCTGGGTATGGGTGCACACCTGCAGTTCCAGCTACTTGGGAGGCTGAGGCAGAAGGATAATCTCAGTCCAGGAGGTCGAGGCTGCTGTGAGCCATGATCCTACCACTGCCCTCCAGCCTGGGCAACAGAGTGAGAACCTGACTCAAAAATAAATAAATAAATCATCCCATGTAACCCAGGCGTCAGAAAAGGTGGGATCCTAGTGACCTGGAAGGATGGGACTAGGAAAGCCCTGTAAGAGGTGAGTGGAGTTGCCCTTGGCCTTGCAGACGACCCTTCCTTACTCTCTGCCAGATGGTCACACAGATCCCATGAAAAGCCCGGGCCTGCCAGAGCCGAGACGGTGTTCAGCACCGCGGACAGCAACCGGCGCGCTGACTGGCCTCGCTTTGCCGGTTCATCCAGGGGAAGCTGACAACAGCCGGCGCCCTCAACTCCCTAGCCCCTCTGCGTTCCAATCCCACTGGTCAGAAGCATCTCAAGGGATTCTTCATTATCCCTGAGCATCTTTGTAGGGGGGTCCTTGGTGACCAAAAAGCCCTTGTTCAAAAAGACCCCCCAAACACTTCACATGTGCTGAGCCCGTACGTTGCATGTTCCATGCATGACTTCATTTAACCCTTGTCCCAGTGCTGTGGCTGCTGTGATTTCACAGATGATGGCACTGAGGCTCAGAGGGAAGCATCTGCTCAGAACCACACAGCTAGTGAGGGACAGATGCAAGATTCAGAGAGGTCCTTGGGATGCCAAAGTCCAAGCTCTTGGGGTGTTGGACATCCCTGGGTGAATGAGGGAGACAAGACCCGCCTTTCTGATATCTTGACATCATGGCAGGGAGGTAGCCGCAGTCCTGCCCCAGAGACAAGAGGGGAAGAGAAGATGGCAAAGAGGATTAGAGGGGGCCCATCTTCCAGAGGTGGGGGCCTTCAGGGGCACTTCTCAAGTGTTAAAAGCACCCTGGGCATCAGCTGTCAGTCAGTCATGGTCATGCACATTCTGTAGCAGGGAAAACTAAGGCCCATGAAGGAAAGGATGGTAACATTTCCAAAGGTTCCAGCTGGATGCACCAGCTCCCCAGCGCTCCACGGCCCCTAGAGCATTCGTGAATAAATTTCACAATCCAGAGTGTGCAATCCCTGGGCAGGTGCCATACCCTGGTGGGGGAGCAATGACCAGCCAGGCCCAGATACCCCTGAGCCAGCTCATGCCTGCATCAGAGGTCAGTCTCTCCAAAGCCAGAGGACCCTCCTCCAACCCAGCATTCTCTAAGTAGATGGGAGTCCTGTCTGGTGACACCAGATGGACTCTGGAGGCCCAGACTCAGTCCCAGGACCCCAGGCTGTCCTCCTCACATCCTGTACCTTACCTCCTACCTGGACAACAGATCTATCAGCCAGGCAGGTGGCCTCTTAGCAGGCAAAGATGGCCCATTGGAGGGGCCAGTCCCATGTGCAGAAGGAATGAGGGAGAGCAAAAAGTCAAGCAGCCTTTTGCACCGACATCTGGAATATTCCATGGTTTGGTCTAAGAGGAAGGCTCTAGTCACAAGGAAGTGGAGGGAAGACAAGGCAGGAGGCTGCTGACCCTGATCTCAGAGCCTCGTGGACAAACCAAGGACCCCCTTCCTTCCTTGGAGGCTGAAGAGAAGGAGAAGGGGATTAAATGGAGGCAGCAGAAGTGGAGCTTCCAGACAGGGATGGCCTCCTTCAGCCTCCTCTTGCCCCGTGCTTGCCTTTGAGCACATATTCTCTTACACACGTGCACACACGTGCACATGCACAAATACACACATATGCACATCCACACACAAAACCACAAAGATGTCTTTGTAAACACACTCTCGTCCCTGCTTTGCCCTCATACGTGCATCCACACACATACTTCCTTGCACACCACATGCATACATTTTGGCACAAATGACAATCCACTGGAAATCCTGTCTGCTGGAAGAAGGGGAATGCCATTGTTTTGTCATTAAGATCTTGTCCATCCTGTAAAAGTCGTCTGAAGCACCGCCTCTTCTGGCCTCTCCAGACTCTGACTGATAGAGTCCCAGCGCAGCTTGGGCTGGGTTGTAGCTCTCCTAGTCTGCTGTGAGCTTCTGGAGGGCAGGTTCTGGTCCCAGACACCTTGGTGTCCCTGCAGTGCTGACTGCAGCCCGTGGCCACCATGCTTACTCCCAGTTGAGCAGCTCCCCCCAGGGCTTCATCCGTCACCTGCTCCCGCTGAGCAGACAGCTCCCACTCAGATGCCA